AATATATATAATATATATATATATATATATATATCAAATGCTTCCATAAATACAACACAAGCCTTTTCATTTTTATTTTAAAAAAAAAATATATATATATATATATATATATCAAATGCTTCCATAAATACAACACAAGCCTTTTCATTATATTGTATTTTATTTTATGTTTTATTTAGTTTTGTCTTATTTCATCTGTATTTATTTATTTATACGTTTTGAAGCATGAAAACATGCTGTTAAATGTGTGTAATCACATTAGCGGATCTGAACAGAAAAGCATCATGACAGATAGAAATGCCAGGCTTTGGCTGTAAAGCACGGTTTCGCATTAAAGAGCGGATCGATCGAGGTTTTTATTGACTGAAGACACACTGATTGATCCAGCAGCGTCTGACCATGATGTCACTGCTCTCATTAATGGGCTGCTGTCTGTTATTCCCTAATTAACATGTTTGCCTGTGATTATTGGCCCATAAAGCTAACATGGGCCATCATTTCATTATAAGCTTTGAGGAAAAATCTATTTTGTATCTGGGTATTTTCTTTTCTGTAAAGTAGACTTCTAGTTCTTTATGTAATGTGATGAAACAAACTATTATTATTATATACTAAATCATATATAATATTTCTTATTGTTATATAGTTTAACATCATTTTATTATATTTTGATATATTATAATATATAGCTATATATTATTATATATATAGTAAACTAAACCACAGATATTATATGTGTATATTGCATGCATTTAGTTAATGAATGTATGCAATAAATCAATGCATGCATTAACTAAATGCATGCATTGATTTATTGCATGTATTAATTTTTTAATGCATGCATTGATTTATTGCATGTATTCATTTTTTAATGCATGCATTGATTTATTGCATACATTCATTTAATGCATTTATTATTTGTGCAATTTTAATTTTGAGTTGATTTCAGCTTCTCTCTGTCTGTTTTCCTGTCTGTCTAAAAGTCAAAGCAGAAGAAGTCCGTCCGTTCATTCGTCCAGTGCAGGTTTGAACATGTCTGCAGATCAGAGGAGCAGCTGTGTTTGTGAATGAGGTCAGAGCTGTCAATCAACAGTCAACAGTTGCATAGAGTTTGAGAATCTGTTCATCAGTGTATGATAATGTACAGACAGCTGACTCTATTTCAATCTAAACTAAACTAAACTAAAACCAGCAGGCTGATCAGGCCCAAACCAAAGGTTATGTCATCCTAAAGTTTTTATTTTGCAATAATGATCATACAATGTGATAAACTACATATGAAAAGCTTGAGGTTGGTAAGATGTTTTTAAAAGAAGTCTCTTCTGCTCACCAAGGCTGCATTTATTGAATCAAAAATACAGTAAAAATAGTCAAATATCATTACAATTCAAAATATTCGTTTTCTGTGTGAATATCTGTTAAAATGTCATTTATTCCTGTGATCAAAGCTGAATTTTCAGCATCATTACTTCAGTCTTCAGTGTCACATGATCTTGTGATCATGTAATGAGTTCAGGTCTTTAACTAACCAGCTCTTTAACTGAATTGTAATCCCAAACAGAACCGATGGCAATCACATTTAGTAGCAGCCGTTCAATCACAGTGACACTGAATCATTCAGGGCTGAAACTAAATGTGTTGTGATTTACAGTATGAGCAGCTGTGAGCCGTATTTCTGTCGATGCTAAAGACATCAGTGTGAACTGTTAGTGGACGCAGACAATGAGACGGACGGATCGAATGATTTTCTGCTACAGTGCTGGAATCATTGTTTTATAGCTCACCGTAAAACCTGATCAAGAATAGACCAAATAAACATATCAGAGTCTTTTTACAGTTAAAGGACAATTAAACCTGGAGGAAAACTGAATTTTCTTCATTTTGATTTTTGAATCCTGATTTTGCAGTGCTTTCCTCTTGCTGTTTATTTTTCTTTTTCTTTGCAACTTTTTCTTTTTTGTTTGTTTGTTTGTTGCATTAGTTTACTCATTTATGACTTTATTTTTAATGCATGCATTTACTTATTTAATGCGCACATTATTTATTCATTTATTTATTGCATCCATTATTTATTTATTTTTATTTGAATGCATTTATTTGTGCATTCATTCATTCATACATTTATTTAATGCATCCATTATTATTTGAAATGTAATGCATTTATTTATTTAATGCATTTATTTGTGCATGCAAGCATTCATTTATTAATTAAATTCATGCATTTATTTATTTATTTCATTATTAATTTAATGCATACATTCCTTTATTTATTTAATGCATACACTCATTTATTTAATGCATGCATTTCTTTAATGAATGCATACATTCCTTTATTTATTTAATGCATACACTCATTTATTTAATGCATGCATTTCTTTATTTAATGCATACATTTCTTTATTTATTTAATGCATACACTCATTTATTTAATGCATGCATTGCTTTATTTAATGCATACATTTCTTTCTTTATTTAATGCATACACTCATTTATTTAATGCATGCATTTCTTTATTTAATGCATACATTCCTTTATTCATTTAATGCATACACTCATTTATTTATTTAATGCATGCATTTCTTTATTTAATGCATACATTCCTATATTGATTTAATGCATGCATTTCTTTATTTTTCTAATGCATGCATTTCCTAGAAATTGCGCCCATGACTTTGGCATTGTTAATGTCAAGCTCCAGTTTGAGCTACAGGAAAGCGGTTTAAGATCACTGATATAAATCTGACTGAATCTCACAGATGTGCAGATGGAGTCGTTCTCTCAATGTCAATGAGAACCAGAGAAAATGAGTAAACATAATTTATGACCCCAGGAGCATTTAAATGGCCAAAACAAAGCAGCCGCTCAGGTTTCTGCCATTAATATTTCATTGGTTTTCTTTTACAAGGTCACAGGGTGGCACTTTACACTGGACATCAGCCACAAACAAACAAACAGCCAGAGAAATGACCGTTAGCTCCATGTTCATCTGCACACAGAGATGATGAAGGTTCAGAGAGTCACGGATGTGACAGAAAACACGGATGTCAAAGCTCACGGTTCAGTGTAAAGAATAAGACTGTCATGTGATCAGTGGAAAAACGTCCACGCTCACGTACACACTGACGTCTGTCTTTACTGATGTTATCCGGGGAAGATCCTCGTCTCTCGCAGTGTTATTTGTGATCAGAGTGTGTTTGATTAGTGCTGGTTTGCTACAGCAGATCAAACACAAACTTGAGTGAATTTAAAACACACAAACCCACAAACAAACCAGCTACAGTCAGGATTATCTCATATACTTGATGTCATAATAATAGTCAATAATGCTGAGTTTAGAAAGACTTACAGATGTTGATCGTTACTGTAGTGATGTTAAAGTCTGATATCACACAACAAAATTAATAAAACTGTAACATATTGAAATGTGTTACTTTATTTATTTTTAATATAGTGAAAACATTTAAAATGTCTGAATATTAAAATAAATATTTATTTTAATATTTATTTATTTTAAACATATAGACTATATAATGAAATTACATACCAAACTTAAAAAATAATAAAACTATATAAACATATTTAAAAATAAATAAATAAATTAATAAACATTACACAAACACACAACAAAATTACTAAAGTGTAACATAAAATAAATATAAATATATGTTATTTTATTTAACTACTTTCAGTATAGGGAAATATATGTTTAAAATTATATAAAGATTTAAAAAAATATATTATTAGTTATATTATGAAACCCAACTACTGTATATAGACATATTTAAAAAATAAAAAAATAAATAAAAATGACATAAATGCACAACAGAGCTACTAAAATATTACATAAAATATATAAATGCATGTGTTTTTTATATAATTTATTTTTAATATAGTGAAAACATTTAAAATATCTGAATATTTAAATAAATATGCATTTGAATGATTATTTATTTTCAATATATATAGGCAAGGCAAGTTTATTTATATAGCACATTTCATAAACAATGGCAATTCAAAGTGCTGTACATAAAACACTGTATATTACTATACTTTGGCTAAATGAGTAAATGTAATGTAAGGAACTAAAACAAATGTGTTTCTTTCATTCTTCTAGGAGTCGAGACATGAGTAAGACATGAGTACAGAACACCGGGGCTAGTTGTCACATTTGTACTCCAGTGAAAATGTCTCAGGGTGAGTTCGTTTAGCAAAGTCTGTAAAGACATGAGCCTTAATCTTGAACACAACAACAACAACAAAGTTTTATATTTACATTATTATTGCCCTACATTAAAAATTCCTCCCCTGCAGTTGTCAAACTGTATGGGGTAAGTTGTCACAGTGTTGTTTACTGACACTGATTTGAGAAGAGTTTCTTTTGTATTTGTATCTGTATTTGTAACAGTTATTGGCTATTTAATGACTTATTGTATTATTTAACGTATGGTTTTATTTTATGTGTTTGTAAGGTTTAGTTATTTGTTTGTTCGCTTGGTTTTTGATTAATATCTGATGGATATTAATGTTGTTTATGTTTCCTTAGCTTTGGGGGTGAAAATGTATTATTTTTACCTTTTTAAATTAAATTTAATTAAATTTAATTTTATGTTGTGTTATTTTTAAAAAAAATTTTATTTGTTATTTATTTGTTTGCTTGTTTTTCATGTACTTTGGGGCAAATTAGTATTATTACTACTTTTACATTTTATTTTATTATTTTATTTTATGTTGTGTGATTTTTATTTATTATTTATTTTAATTTTTGGTATGTTTTTGACAAGGACTTTATGCTTTGGGGGCAATTTTATATTATTTTTAAATTTTTTATTTTATAGTAGTTTTTATTAAGTTAAGTTTATAAAAAAAAAACTTTAAATAAAATTAAAAATTGCATTATATTTTTGTAGAGCAAATTTGCAGAGAGACTGTATTTATTTGTTGCTGTTGTACTGTGGTTATACAGCGATGAAAGCGTATTTGAGCCGTCCTCACTAGTAAACAGGCTTGTAAATCATCCAGATGATGTTTGTCTTTAGAGGTTAGTGATTTGCACAGGTTTGTATGATGGTTAGTTTGGAGTCGAGACAGGACACAATAGCATTATTATTAGTTAGGTATTATTAGACGTATCAGACTCGTGTTCATCTTCGGTCCAGACGTGCCGTCATTGCTCACGGTGACATCATGTCCGGGGGATTCGCTGGCGTCTGCAGACCTCCTGGACTGAGACTCACAATCACAAAAGACACCTGAACCGAGTCCGTCTGGTAGCGCAGTGAGAGCCTGTGATACCGCGGTAAAGTGAGGACAGGTCCTTCATCACGGGAGGTCAGAGAGCGACACCCCTGCGTGAAAAACCCTGTGGTTTACAGCGCTTTAAAACACAATAGAGAAAAACAGCATAAAAGTGCAGGAATGTCAGACAGAAGATGAATGAGACTTCAGACATTAGACGTCAGGTGCTAAAGATACAAAATAAAAGCCTTTCATCAACCGGTCACTTTGAGCCTTAATAACCACTGACACTGATCCAGGGTTATTAGTGTTAACTAAAAGTAAAATCATTCAAACATACTTCATTACTTGAAATGAGATTAATGAAATATGACAAAAAAAAATATTTATAATATTTCAGCTTTTGCCAAGACAACATTTCTGATTTGTTTAGTTTAATTTGAAGTACTAAAATCACTAAATCTAACCAAGAAATGATAAAAAAAAAAAATATATATATATATATATATATATTTGTTAGACCATATAGGCCATATCGTTATATTGCGAAGCTCTACTTAATACAAAATTAATAAAATATAGACATATTTAAAACAAAACACTAATAAAAATGACACAAACACACAATAAAATAACTAAAACTGTAACAGAAACAATATACACACATAAATGTATGTGTTATATAATTAATTTCAATATAGTGAAAAAATATGTTAAATATTTGAATATGTAAATAAATATAAATGTATTTATTTATTTCAATATAGAGGTAATATAGTGATTTTACAAAACACAACTAAAAATGAATGAAACTAAATAGACATTTTTTTAAAACATTAATAAAAATGACACAAACATACAACAAAATTACTGAAACTTTAATAGAAACTATATAAATCCATTTAGCTTAATTAAATTTTCAATATAGTGAAAATATATTTAAAATCTTTGAATATTTAAATATTTACTTATTTTGAATATGCAGGCTATATAGTAATATTACAAAACTCATCTTAATAAAAATTCACACACACAGACAAAAAAAAAAAAACTTACAACAATTTCAACATGTAATATATAAATACACGTTATTTATTTATTTGAATTATTTCAAAGTTTAAATAAATATTTATTTGTATTTATTAAATATTTATTATTTATTTTCAGTATTTAGTCTATATAGTGATATAAAAATAAAAAAAACATGGCACAAGCACACCAAAAAAAAAATACTAAAGTTAAAAATAAAATAGAAAATATTATAACTTTACAGTTTTTGCCTATTGCTTACACACTTTTTGCAGAATTTGGCTCATTATGTCAAAACTCTACACACAAGCCAATCAGACATAGCACTTGGAGATTAACAACTCACATCTATGCCAAAATGAAACACTGCAATCAAAACTTAACACTCCTTTCTAAAAATGAAATTCTTGCAACAAAACCATACACACAAGCACCATTTGAATTACCCTTTCATATCACCAGCAACACACTGATGGGCTTTATATAAAACACTGCACCAACAAATTGCTATTGGGGGAAAAAAAACATATACTTGTTTTGTTTTCAGGTGTGTATGTAAGTGCCTACAATTGCCAGATGAGTTTTGCATTTTGAACAGAGTGTTTTCCCAATGATAACAGGTGATTTCGTTTTTGAACAAAGTGTCTAATGTAAGAAAACGTGTGTAGTGTTTCGCAATAAGTGTGTTACAGAATTGCAAACAAAGTGCAAAGTTGACAATGTGTTTAAGCTATGGTTACACTGTGTTTAAGGTATGCTACAAGAAGTTTAGGTATTGAGGCTTTGGTCTAAGCATTCGGTTTTAGTGTGTAAGCAATGGGCAAAAACTGTAATAACAGATAATAAAATAACTATAATTAAAAATAGATATAAAAAACTATTATATTGTGTATATATATACACTGTATATATATGATAAAATAACAATCATGCGTTGGTGATGATACTGGTGTTTCAGATGTTTTATCCTAATTTTAATAATTAAATGCAATACATTCATCTTAAGCATTTCATCTTATCCTTATGTTCACCGGCATTTTTGCTTTGTTTGATTATTGT